ACATTTACCACCTCTGATATGTGTAACTGGAAAAGTCACAGTAAGGGGTTGAAGATTCAGAGGGGTTCCTGAATCTGATGAGAGGAATCTTTCAGACCCGTGACCCCACCTGGCTGACATCCAGAGCCTCCTCAATCTGCTCCTGACAGAGGAAGAAAGGCCACAATCTTTTCAAAAGTTCTAGAGGAAGCAAAGAGAACAGAAACAATGCAGGTCATGCTATTTTCAGAACGGGGAGCCAAATGGTCACAGATAACAAATCCAACCAAAAACACTGAGACCATGGAGAAGAGGGTGGAAGACAGAGGCTGATCCATTACAAAAATATGATCCTCGACGAAATCCACACTGCAGGACAGAAATCCGGGAATTGGAACATGGTAAAGGAAATCAATCAGGAGCCAACAGAAAACACGTCAGCATCCCTAAAGCCTCAGGGAATGCCCCTGAATGTATACTACCACTATCCCTGAGTCATTGGAAGGGGATGCAATCCTGAGGCTGTATTTCATTTCCCAAAGTGCCCCCGACATTAGGCGTAAACTTCAGAAACTGGAAATAGACTCAGACACCCCCACCTCTAGCCTGGTTGAGGTTGCCTACCAGGTATTCAGTAACTTAGATATAGAGGAAGAAAAGTCAGAGGATAAAAAGGCCTGGAGGCAAGCCCACCTACTGGCTCTTGCCGTCCAATGTCAACTGGTCGGCACGAGAATCTGGACTCACCGCCCACGGAGACTCTAGATTCCGCTGCAGGGGATTACCCAGGGGTACACCACAAGTGAGTAACAACCCAAGACAATGCGCCGCCTCTGACTACTCTTGGGAGCCTCTCTCCAACCTAAACTCCTTTTCCGAAAAATGGTAAAAGATAAGTAACCCGATATGCTTTGCCAGTAGAGACTCTAGGATCTTTGAGCTGACCGGGGAGGGGGTCGGCGCGCTGGCCCATATATCCTGTTGCTTCCACGTCAGTGCAAGTGGCCTGACTGGAGAAAGTGCAGGCAGGCTACCAGAAAAAGCCACTTGGCAAACAGAAGGCAGCCAGCCTAATCTGGCCGAACAAACGTGGAGGCGGGTAACACAAGCCCTTCGCAGCGTCACTTGGTTTCTGCCTTTCCTGTGCCCCTTAATAGCTGTTGTTCTCTTGCTGATATTTCCACCGTGTATCTTAAACTGTCTGGTGTCCTTTGTCTCTAAAGCGTTAGAACCCATAAAACTTCAAATGGGGATCGTTCCGCGACACGAACAGTCAGGGCCAAGGCCTAGCGACAATCAAACATAAGTAAAGGCAGCTGGGAGAAGTTCGGCTCCTCTACACGGGGTTATGTCGACGCCCAATCTCGGCAGGAAATGGTTAAAGAAGACGGACCTTCACCGCTCAGCGCCCCTCAAGAATCAGGAGCAGGACAAAAGCAGAGGAGGGGCTCTTCGCAGGCAAAGCCCATTAACGATTCCCAGGAAATAAGAGAACCTGAGTAAGAGAATAAAGTCTAACCTTTTTTCCCTTTGTACTTCGTCTAGTTTCACTTGCTCAGAGGGTGCCACGGGCACATGACTTGCTCCTGACATTGCAGCCCGGTGACCGTGTGGAGAAACTGCAAATGACACCACCAATCAAGATGGCGGCGGTGAGGCGGCGGCGGCTGCAGCGGGCCCCGTGCAGAGGCACCGCGAGATCTGCAGCGTGAGCAGCACAGCTGTGCCTGTGGACGAGAACCCTGCCCCCTCCCCCGCTGATGAGATCCCTATAAAGCAGCCCCGCCCACGGCCTGGCCTGTCTGGAGAGCACGGACTCTAGATCACAGCTCCGAGCTCTCCACCCTTTGATCGAAGAATAAAGCTGTCTTTTGTTTCTGAACTGAAGTCGGTCTCCTTCTCTTGGCACAAGCGACACCGAGCAGAAGGACCCTGGTTGGCGCCCAAAAGGTCTGTAACCTATGTGGTATTTACACACAATAGAATACTGTTGAACTTTAAAAAAAAAAAAATTCTGCCCTGTGCCACAACATGGATGAGCATCATGGACATTACGGTAAGTGAAATAAGACAGTTACAGAAGGACAAATATTGCATGATTCCACTTGTATGAAGTATTTAAAAGTCAAATTCACAGAATTAAAGAGGGAAATGGTGGCTGCCAGGATCTGAGGGGAAGAGGAAATGAGGAGTTCCTAATCAACGGACATAAAAGTTTCAGTTAAACAAGATGATAAGATCTAGAGATCTGCTGTACAACACTGTACTTGTAGTAAAAAATAATGTACACTTTAAAATGTTTTCAGTGGTTAGATCTCATACAAGTGCTATTGCTA